GTACTTTTCCGTGCAAACAGCGAGATGGTTCTTGGTAAGCTCTAGGATAGCCGTACCACTGTCCGCAGGAAGAGTCGTTGATGACGTCGAGACAAAGTAGGGAGAAAAGGAGGAGGCTAGGCGATAAGCCTCCTTGGCGTTGGATTCTGCTACTCCCATTCGGGACAAGGCTTCACCATGTTTGCCTGCTGCAGAGTCTGCAAGGGATCGTTGGTACTGCATGATAGAAGTAAAGTATCTTGATTTGATCTGAGGACTCGGTTAGAAAGGTTCATCCAAAGTTGCTGAACACGTACTTGTAACACAGTCACCCAGTTACGATCGAAAATACCCTTGCCCATAAACTCTTTCACCTCTTCACATAAACCCGCGTACAGGTAGGCGGCATTGGCGGCTACTTTGCTGACCAATCCAACTGCCTTTCTCTGATCGATACAAGTCTCGTAGAAGCACTCATTTGCCTGGGCCATCATGATGCCGACCAGGAATTTGACCACCTCTCTACTGAGATCGGTCGATGGAGCATGTAAAAAGTTGTCATTGATGTATCCCAACATTCCTGCGCACGTTCGAAAGTAGTAGTACGCTCTCTTTAGTCCTTCGGGTGAAGAACGGTTCTGTGCAGATGCAATAGAGGAGTGAAAGGCTGCAATTTGGTAGATGATTGATGCCTTTTCGAATGCGAGCGAGGTTTGGGTGGTCAACTTGGACGTGAACGCATCTCGCCAAGGGAAGGAGACCCGAATCTCCGAAAAGCGGAGTTCAAGTAACTCTAGTTGTCCAAAATACTTGGTCAACAACGAGGCGGCTGTTATCCAAAGTTCCACGTATGTTCAGGTCGGCGGAGGAAGTGGCATCATACAAGCAGAGATGCGAAACGGGTTCAAATAGGTCATGTGAGCTTTCATTTCACTTTCTATTCATGGAGAGGTAAGAATTTTATGTGCTGACCTGTGAGATCACTCCCAGCGCCTCTGACTGCGTCTTGTCGGCATCGTTGGAGCGCAGCACACTCTGCAGTATAGTTCTCTGGATTCTCTCCATAAGAAGCTCTGATTATTGCTTTAATGGGCGTTGTCCAATCTACTTCGTCTGTCGACTTCTTGGGTATGGAGATCGTCGGGGATTGCGCCATGGTCCGGAGTGTTGGTGGCCGATTGGATGAGGGGCTTCAACAACAGAGACTTGGAACTAGTTTCTTTTCGATTCAGCACACGGATAACCGAGATATGCTACAGTTCAATGTGCCCTTGGGTATGGGCGTAATTGCTGGTGCGGACGGTATCGTGGAGAGTTCCAAGTTTGTTGACTTCCTTGCCTTCAGCTCCTCCACATTCTAATCAGAATTCGTAATGTACCCAAGGTTCTAGTTTGATGGTGTTGTATCTTATATCATGACTGTGAACTTGTTAACTTCAATTCGAGTTCAGGGGTGACAGTTCAAATGAAATCCCACTAGCAAGGCTGCTGGTGCACAATCCAAAAATTCCAAGATATTTGATACAAGTCCCACTAATAAACGCATAAACTCCTGATCTATCAACTACCCTCTACCTTTGTCTTTGCCATGGCCACGTCGAGTGCATATTTCTCCCCTTGTTCACTCAAACCTTTCATCGCTTTCTCGAGTACGTCTGCATGATTCCCGTGTCCTACGGGCTTCCCATACTGCGTCCAGCAAGGGACCACACCTGTCCATACCCCTTCAGGCTGGCCTGCTTCCTGTATGGTCGCCGGGGGTTCGCCACCGTTAGGTCCGCCAGTCCGCTGCTTACAGCTAGCATCCTCTATACGGATTCTCACTATCGCTGTCTTCTTCAGTTCGACGTCTTTGAGGGGCGGATCGTACTTGGTCCTCTCATACCCAGTGACGTCGTCCACAACTGCGTCCAATGCATAAAGTTTTTCAGCTGAACCTTTGGGTGTGTTTGAAAGA